ATTGTATTGGGCGTAATTCTAGAAATCATGTATGGAGAAGAGATGGCGATGCCTTCAAACAAAAGAACACAGTTTCAACTGAAATTTAGTAGTGGCAACGTCATGGTTTGGGATGTTTTTCTGCAAAAGGTTCTGGCAACATATCATTAAAAGATGGTAGAATGAATGCAGCAGCATATCAAAATATTTTGGAAGCAAATTTAATGATTTTGTTTGAAAATCTTGAAATTCCTCCTGATTGGATCTTCCAACAAGATAATGATCCTAAGCACACTGCAAAATCTATGAAAATCTAAATATATCTCAAAAAGGAACATACCTGTAAAAAAAAAAAAAAAAAAAAGGCTACAAACTTAAAGCAAAGTTAAGAAGAAAAAGTAAAGGATTTTTTTTATGTAAAAATGACTTTTTTTAAATCCATTTTAGAACCTTCGAAATTTTGGTTAAAAAATTGTTTTTCTGGTGTCAAGGAAGACAACTCTGAATTCAATACCTGCAAAGGATCTTTAGGGAACCTTGTGGCATACTGTGCATTCAGTTCTTTCAATAAGTGTGGTTGGTTCTGCACAAGCCTTCACCACTATAATCAAATGTGGGTAGTCTTGCTGTTGGTTCTTAGAACAAGGCTACTTGACCCTTGTACATTGAAAATAACAGGAAAGTCCAGTATAAAATAAAATATATATATATATATATATATATATATATATATAGGATTGGTGTATATGGAATAAATTCCAATAACCAACAAATACTATTCTTAAGAATGCTCAATACAGAGTAGAGCAATTAGAATTATTAATTCAAAAATTATAACATAAATAAGTTCTAAAATGACTAGATTCTGCATTCAACACCGTCACTTGATAAGACACCAGAAGTGTTGAAACAAAATGGCTATTTTTGTAGCGATTTTATAACATATTTGTTATAATTTTTGAATAAATATATATATATATATATATATATATATATATGTGTGTGTGTGAGAGAGCACTAATTTTCCTTTTCCATTGTGTGAGATGTGATCCTGATTTAATTTGATTAAAACAATGTTTTCTTTAAGCTTTCTTATCAGGTTTTAAACTTTGGTACTCACCATGGCTTGCATGGCTCAAACTCACTGACAATGGCTTGAGATGTATCTAAATGTTTCTTCATCTGGTATAAGACCACAACCAGTTGGGCACCAGTGAGAACTGAACTGGCATTGCTAGTTGAGTCTTCAATTAGACTTTGCTTCGTCAAAGTACAATGTTCAGCAAGCTCAGGCATTGACTTGTGTAACAAATATCCAAGTCATTTGACCTTTTGTAGGTTACTTCAGCCAGACTCCGTGTTGGAGTTAATTTAGCTCGAGTTTTTTTTTTCAGATATTCCTTGCATCGGCGCATCTATTTTAAGCAACAATTTTCTAATTTTGAAGATTCTTAGCAGAATTATCAATTCTTTTGTATAGTTCTTTTTTGTTCGATAAATGCCATAAGAGTTAAAATTTCTCATAGTAATCGAACTATGCATATTGGAGTCTAGAAATATTTCTAAACAGAAGCAGCTGCAAAAGAATTATTGAATAAATATTACTTATATAAATAAATCAGTTGCTAAAGCCACAAATTTGAATGAGTTTTGGAAAACGGTGAAGAATTCGTAATGCGATTTCTTAAATTGTGCTTTGGATGAGATTTAATGTAGATCAATTATTTTTTTTTTTTTTTTTTTAAAAGTTAAGACATTTTAAAAATAGCAAGTTTTTGACTTGACTGCTTCTGAAAGTTTAATAATAATCAATGATCAATAGAAGAATTATTTTTAATGAATCACTGAAGTCACCTGCTGTCATGCTGTTTGCATCAAGCAGAAAAGGTTGTGTTTTTGCTACTGAGGTCTTTTTATATAGCCTTCCTCATCATTGTCTGCTACTTATATCCCAAAGACAAATTCTTTGCCATAATCACAACAGTTTTTCCTACATTGGGAATGGATATGAATAAATCCAAGGAGGCATTTATATCCAATGTTTCAATTTCATTTCAGTTATGATCAGATGATGTTGACAAATTTGATATATTATTGCCGGTTTTGGCAAAATTCAAGGTAAAACATTTTGAAAAATGAGATCTTTGCCCTCCATTTAAATTAGTGTTTTGGAGAATCTCGATAGTCATTTCATAATTCGAAACAGGTCCCTTGGAACATTATTAAACTATGTTAAATTTATAGAAAGATTTAATAAAGTAAACTTATTTGCCGAGATAAGAGTATAAAAAACAAATTAAAAATTTTTTTAAAGCCATACAAATAAATAGTTTGATAAGTTTGTAGAAATGTTAGAATTCTTGAATACAATATAAAATAACGTATTTAGTAATGATTATGTTTAACTTTAAGCTTCTTTTTGTTTTTGAGCTGCTTAAACCACAGTGACATCAGTAGAGGTGATCTGATAAACTGTCCTCTTTGGTAACTTCATGAATTTAAACACCATACTAGATTGGCAGCTAGGTCTCATAACTTCACTCTTGAAACTGCTAGATATAACCACAAGGTTTATGCTAATATTTTTTCTTACACTTCTGGATTTTAAAGCTCTTCTCGCTTCCTGTCAACTACAATCTCCAAAAATTTGAATGCAAAGTTAATTGTCATCTTGAATCTTAACTATTTATTTGTATGGCTTTAAAAAAAAATTTAATTTGTTTTTTATACTCTTATCACGGCAAATAAGTTTACTTTATTAAATCTTTCTATAAATTTAAGATGGTTTAATAATGTTGATACGCTTGAGAAATATTTATCTTTCAATAAATAATTCAATTTGAAAATTAGAACTTTATCGTGATATGGTTCTAATTTTCTGTAAATTGTTGGTTAACAAAATGTTTTACCTTTTAATTTTTATTCTTTGGGTTTGGTTTTGTTATTTTTGTTTTTGTTTTTTATCACCTAAGCCTGAGTTTTTTAAATTTTTTTTTTTTTTAGGAGCAAGTCATTTATATGCAAAACTCACATTTGACTAAATCTTGAGTAACTTTCTTGTTAATCATTCTGCTCCACGCAAGGTGATATGGCCACTAAGATACAAAAGGTTACTGAATGTAAAAGAAAGGGTAAAAGAAAATTTGAATGCAAAGTTAATTGTCATCTCGAATCTTGTTCTTTTATTGTTCTCTCAGTAAACCTTTCTTTTACAAAAGAAAGGGTTACTGAGAGAACAATAAAAAACAAATTAAATTTTTTTTAAAGCCATACAAATAAATAGTTAAGATTCAAGATGACAATTAACTTTGCATTCAAATTTTTGGAGATTGTAGTTGACAGGAAGCGAGAAGAGCTTTAAAATCCAGAAGTGTAAGAAAAAATATTAGCATAAACCTTGTGGTTATATCTAGCAGTTTCAAGAGTGAAGTTATGAGACCTAGCTGCCAATCTAGTATGGTGTTTAAATTCATGAAGTTACCAAAGAGGACAGTTTATCAGATCACCTCTACTGATGTCACTGTGGTTTAAGCAGCTCAAAAACAAAAAGAAGCTTAAAGTTAAACATAATCATTACTAAATACGTTATTTTATATTGTATTCAAGAATTCTAACATTTCTACAAATTTAGTTACATTGAAGTGTGTTTTTTTTTTTTTTTTGTTCATAAATATTTAAGCAACAATAATTTTTTTGTTTAATGCAAATTCTGGTCTTAATTGTAATTACAAGTTAATGATATGCCTTTGGTGTTTGATGATTTGTTACTTTAAAAAAACAAACAAAAAATAAGCACACATTTTCAACCAAAAACATTTTATTTGCATCATATACAGTTTGACTTTTCTTCTAAATTTAAGAGAAATATATATATATATATATATATATATATATATATATAAAACTGGAACATGTAAGTAACAGTTTATAATAAATATTTATTACTTTGCTTCCTGTATTGAGCTCTTTTTTAAAGTAATGTTATGAATGTTTGAATTTATATTCTTTTAATTCTTTACATTCAGATTTGTGTGTGTATATATATATATATATATATATATATATATGTGCATGCTTTTATACTTTTACAGATAAATATGATTAACATTTAGCTGGTATCAGATAGTCCAAAGTGTAAATTGACATTTTTCTATTTGTTTAAGTATTATTGACCCTGCTTCTTTCAATAAATTTAAAAAAAAGTAATTCTACTTATCTGACAATGCCAGTAACACAAGCTTGCCTCATGTTGACGATGATCATGTATGTTTTCTACAGATGCCATATCTTGTTCTAGGTAAAAGCCACAATTATTAATGCAAGTAATCAGTCCCCATTTGGATTGACGGGCAACACAGTCTTTCTACCCTCCTTCGTTTCAACTCCATTTTGTGCTATGCTAAGCTAAGTAAATATTGCCATCATCATTGCTCTGTCATGTCATCAATCAAAATTCTAACAAATGAATTTCCTCTGCAACTTTTGCAAACATCCAGTTATGTGACATCATTGAATTTTGATTTGGCTTCAAATTTATTTTATCATGCCTTCCAAAGCTAATAGAAAAATTATTTTCTTTGTTTTCATTTTCTAAATTTGGTTACTGGGTTTTGGCATCTGTCAAAATACTTTTCTTTTTTTTTTTTTTTCGTTATTCCACCTCCACTCAATTTCTATCCAAGATTGTACAACATACTGACTGACTCTTTACATTATTATATGAAAATGAATGTGGAATAATTTCCTATGGAAGACATGAGTTTTTATTTTTACATATTGCATTTTCTCTGCATATTTTTTCCAATTTTTGTTGATTTTTCTAATATTTAACTGTCAACTTGGAAATGTGTTTCAGACAGCTAGTCTGATCGTTTGGCAACCTGTTTTCAAACCTTTTAGCAGCAGTTAAAAATACAATCTTCCAGCGGCAGTGAAGAGAAATGAATTGCAAACGTGTTTGGTGTTTCTCTCTTTGCTTTTTCTCAAGCAGAGATTCTTTATTTTTCTGTTTCTCTTTCCAGAACATTGGTTGCTGACATTGAGCAACTTCGGAACAAGAATGGAATGAATGAGTGGCGGACAAAAGAGTCACTTGACTTAGGGGATTTAGTACAAAGGCGCATCAAATTCCTTCAGGTGGGTGAGCCAGTTGACATTGAGAAATTTGGACCAGCATTGTTTTTTTTTTTGTTTTGGTTTTCTTTTCAAAATCTTTTGTTGAGAAGATTTAATAGTTCTTACTCAAAGTCCTTTTATCATTGATTGCAGATGCTTTTTTTTTATCTTCTATTTATCACGAATAGGTAACATATGTCAGTATTGTAAAGTATCTCTTGTTCTTTCCTCTTCTTAGATTATACAAGATATTTTTCTTCAGACAAAGTTCATATTATATATGTTATGTATTATATTTCATTAGAAATATATTTTTATATATACACGACACATATATAAATACGCACATATATACACCTGTGCACAAGCATATATATATATATATATATATGCACACACACAAAAGAATCAACACTGCTTGATGACTGTCTGTTTCATACTTCAATCTTCAGGCTAGATCTGTAAATATTCTCTGATATCGATTAATCTTCAACAAAGATTGCGCCCCCCCACCCCCAAAAAAAATCAAACTTGTTGACCAGAGTAATTATGGAAGATAACATTTCTAAGGCAAACAGTTTTATTATAGTGCTCGATATAAGGCATTGATAGTATTAAATAAGATTGAAATTAGATTTAATAAACTCTGAATAACTATGATACACGTCACTAGAGTAACAAATTACCTGTACACATTTTGACATCCATCCTGTTCAAAATACTGAAATACTTGTCTACACATGATTCACCTCAAAAGTTGCATTAATATCCAACTTTTGATTATATAAATATACATACATATATCTATGTGTGTGAACAAATTCAAATAATTTTATAGGCTTACAGCCATGACACATTGAAACACCAGTTCCCATCACTGAAGTTAAGCAACATCAAGCCTGGTCAGTACCTAGATGAGTAACTGCTTGAAAATACCAGCTGCTGTAAGCTTAGATGTGTGAGTGGTGTAATGGATAATGGCTTGGAATCATTAATTGGATAGCAGAGTTCTAATTCCAGTTGGGTTCATTATATTCACTTATGTGTAAATACCACCCTTGGGATAAGTATGAATCCACTCCTCCCCAGCTAATTAGTAAGACTTGTATCACTAAAACTATTATTATCTCCCACCCCCCACCAAAAAATGCATACAAAATATTTTAATTTTGGCATCAAGTAACTCATACAGGTGTTGATATGCTGCTAAATAAAAACAACCAACCTATCAAATAATTTTAACAAATTTCTTTGAAGGAAAATTGATACCTTTTAATTTTAGAATCAAGTGGATGTCATTACTGCAAAACTCAGAGTAGACACAAGATAAGTAAATATTTACATACATACATACATACATGTCAAATTTCAAAATCTATCCATAAAGGGTTCTTTCCTTTTTCTTTAACACTTGTGAAAGGTAAAATCGGGACCCTCCTGTTCATTCACACAACAAGACTAAAAATCAGAAGGTGTGATCAGTGCAGAAAAAATATAACAACTAGTCTGAGGACTGGGTACACTTTCTATTTCTCTCTCTCTTTCTCTCTCCCCCTCTCTCTTTATCTTTATATATATATATACACACACACACACACACACACACACATATATATATATATACACACACACACACACACACACACATATATATATATATATATATACACACACACACACACACACACATATATATATATATATATATACACACACACACACACACACACATATATATATATATATATATATACACACACACATATATATATATATATATATATATACACACACACACATATATATATATATATATATATATATATATATATACACACACACACATATATATATATATATATATATATATATATATATATATATATATACTTGAACACAATCTCAGGCTATGTCTGTTGTGTTTTGGCTTGACTATACTGGTCAATAGTTCGTTATGGGTAGCAAAGTCTATAGTATTTTCCTGACAGGCAATAATTTTAGAGGTTATTCAGTAAGAATGATTATGAATCTGAATACAATTATTGTAGGTATTTTATAATGTTGTTTATTAACTTTTCACTCATTATTTATTATTGTTTGTTATTGATTAATATTACATTTATGTGTTCATTCATAATTTATTATGTACTTAATCTGATTATTTTTTTTAAATCTTGTTTTATTTTTTGTGGTGTAGTTATCTTACTTGTTTAGTTTAAAATAGTGGCTTTGTTTAAAATGTTACATGCACTATATACAAAGAAAATAATGTGTTTCCATTTTTCATGGTAATATTTTACAAGATATATTTACAATTTTTAAGTAGATGTAGCATTCTCCTACGTATTTTTGTAAAATTGAATGATAAATGTTCTTTCAAAATGTGCCCACATTCGAAACTATCAATATTTTTCTTTTACCATTATCAGAAAAATACAAAATTGTGTAAAATTATAAAAATATATGTGATTGGATTTAGTGTTTTTAGTATTCAAAGAAAAAGTACCAAGGAAACAAATTCTACTTTTTAACAAATCATTGAAATATACATTTAAATTTGGTTGTGCACTCTTGGAAGATAAGTGTGAATTTGTAAACAATGACTAATACTACTTATATTACAAGGATCTTCCCTTCCCTGAATTGAGCACTGTCAGTCATTGGCATGTTTATTCACAGAGTAAGTATGTAAAAATTCGCCTTTCTTTCAACTGTGGGCTGATGGCATAGGGGGTAAATCTCCAACTGTTGCTGAATCAGTCAGGTTTGGATCCCATCTTGAAGCAATCAGATGTCTACCCACACTGATGAGCTGTGAAACAGCGAAACAGTCTGTTTATGGATGACATACATGCATACATACATATATATATATATATATATATATATATATATATATATATATATATACTTTTAAATGTTTCTGATATATGTTAGTGTCCCACGCACACACAAATGCATCTTCACAATTTCACTCATACAGGAATATGACATTTATTACCCGAGTAACAAGTTATTTTGCCTCTGCCATTATTTTCTTCTAGTATTACAATTAAAACTGTTTTTCATTTTATGATGTGTACCTTGAGAGATTTGAATATGTCTTTCATAAGACTCATTAATTGTTATATGCAGATTTCAAATCTAAATATTTTCACTGCATTTATTGTGTTGACTATACATAAAGAATATATTGATGCTGTTCATACCCCCTCCCCCCATTCAGTTGTAATTTGC